TGATCAGGCCTAAGAAAGAACATGTAAATTACTGTGAAACCTTCTTTGTTAGAATGCTCTCAGTTGAATGAGAAGGGTCTTAGGAGGAAGTTATTTTGTTCCTCAGTCTTACAGCTCTTTGACCCCAACTCAATAGACCGGCAGAGTTCTTTGTTTTCTATGGTTCCTTACTTCCCCCTAATGAGTACTGTACTTTACCTGAATTATTATGCAGAATGAGCCCAATAAAAGCAGGTATGGATGGTAAATCAGCACGCTCCCCACTAGGGGGGGTGGCCATTTCATCCCTACTTCCCCACAGAAACTAGTCTGTCTCTGTGCATGTTGTTTTTTCTCGCGTGTTTTTCGTCGAGCCATCCACAGCATTCCGTGGTCACTGCTGGCCGGTGACCTACGCGCAACAGATTGTGTTTATTTGGGTCCTCTCTCTATTTTTCTTGATGAGTCCGCTCAAAGGCTTGTCGATTTTGTTTATCTTTTCAAGAACAAGTTCCTAGATTTATTGATTCTTAGGATTGTGCTTTTAGCCTCTATGCCATTTAATTCTGCCCTGATCTGGGTTATTTCCTTCCTTCTACTTATTCTGGGCTGTCTTTGTTGTTGTTCCTCAAGTTCTTACAGGTGTAGAGTTAGGTTGTTTATTTGAAATGTTTCTATCTTTTTTGGGTAGGCCCATATCACTATGAACTTCCCTCTCAGGACTGCCTTTGCTGTGTCCATAAGTTTTGGATTGTTGTGAGTTAATTTTCATTTGTTTCCAGAAACTTTTTGATTTCTTTCTTGATGTCATTCTTGACCCATTCACTGTTTAATAGCATGCTATTCAATCGCTATGAGTTTGAATGTTTTGGGGTTTTTTTCCTTGAGATTAGTTTCTAGTTTCAGTCCCTTGTGGTCAGAGAAGATGCTTGATATGATTTCAATTTTCTTAAATTTGTTGAGGCTTGTTTTGTGTCCTATCATGTGGTCTATCTTTGAAAATGTTCCATGTGCCACCTAATCAACAAAACAAACAAACAAACAAACAAACAAGCAAAATATAGCTAAAGAAACTGAAATTGAAAACAAGCTGACAGTGACCAGAGGGGAGAGGGGAGGGAATTTTAGGGGAAAGGGGGAAGAGTTTGCAGGAACAAATATAAAGGACACATGGATAATAACAAGGAGGGTGGAAATGGGAGGGAGGTGGGGAGGGCTGGGGGGGCAGGATGGGGGCAAAAGGCAGAGAACTGTACTTGAACAACAATTAAAATTAAAAAAAATTAAAAAAGAAAATGTTCCATGTATATTTGAAAAGAATGTGTGTTTTGCTTCTTTGGGATGAAAACTTCTATATACATCAGTTAAGTCCATTTGATCTAGGACATTGTTCACTGCTGCAATATCTTTGTTGATATTTTGTTTGGAAGATCTATCCATTTTTGACAGTGGGGTGTTAAAATCCCCTACAATAATTGTGTTGCCGTCAATATCTTTCTTGAAGTCTTCCAAGATTTTCCTTTTGTATTTGGGTGCTCCTATATTGGGTGCATATATATTTACAATGTTTATGTCTTCTTGATGGATTCTTCCCTTGAGTATTATGAAGTGACCTTTTTCTCTTTATGGGCCCTTTTTAGGGTCTCTTTTTATGGCCCTTGTTTTGAAGTCTATTTTGTCTAATATGAGTATTGTTACTCTGACTTTTTTTTCCTGTTCATTTGCTTGGAATATTTTTTTTCAACACTTCACTTTCAGTCTGTGTAGGTCTTTTGCTCTGAGGTTGGTCTCTTGTAGGCAGCATATGTGTGGGTCATGATTTCTTATCCATTCAGCTATTCTATGTCTTTTTATTGGAACATTTAATTATAGAATTTTTTTGATGGTTAAATGAAGTAAATATATGTGATGCACTTAGAACAGTGCCTGACATGTAGCAAACTACCTGTTCTAGTTTTGTTATTAGAAGAGATTTGGGGAGCAGGTGGAACCCAGATCATTTATTCCACTCTGACCTCCCAAGCATATTTCAGGAAGAAAATTTAGGCTCAAGAATATGACTTTATAGTGTCTTCAAAGAGCCAAACCAGAGTCTCTGGGATGGTGGAATAACTCCAGATTATCCCCAGAGTAATGCATCTTCCCTCATGGGGCACTGCCCACTAACTATGAATTTAGCAAGTGCCTAGAAAGTCACTCACTCCTGGGAGGGATTTGCATAGAGAGTGGGAGGGGATAAAGAACACAGAACCATACTCAACCTCAGAGGAGGTATGAAAGTACACCAAAGGCAAGCTGCGCTTCTAACTTATTGAGTATGTTCCTCAGTCCACACATGGGAAAAATAGTCAATGGTATAGATATCACAGCAAGGGGTCCCACTGAATACTCAAAGTCTTCTGAAACATGCCTGTTAGGCTGGGATAGGTGAGCAGAAGGAAGACTTACTTCTCAGAGGAGGTGGGCTGTGAGGGGGGCCTTGAAGTAGTTGGGAATCCATTTTGAAAAGGGCCTCCAATCTGCAGGAGGGAGGTCACATATATGTTTGTGCATCATGGACAGTCTGGCTAGAGTATGGGGATGAGTGCATGGAGGGATAGAAGAATATGAGATAGAGCTAGAGATAGGCTGTGGAAAGCCTTAAGCATTTTGTGCATAATGTATTTTCCTTTCTCAGTAATTCCTTTCTCCCTTGCAGCTCTTCTTCCATTAAATCTAAACCAATGCTGTCCAGGAGAAACCTAATGTGACCTAGCCACATATATAATTTTTGATTTTTGTAGTAGCCACATAAAAAGGGAAAGAAACAGGTGACATTAGTTCTAATAATGTATTATTTTCTCTCATATTTCTAAAATATTATCATTTCCACATGTAATCAATAGTATTATAATGAGAAATAATGATGAGATAGTTTGAATTTTTTGTTTTAAGTTTTTAAAATTGCTGTGTGAATTTTATATTTTGAGCACATCTCAATTCAGATAGATGCTCACCAGTACAAGTGTCCAATGGCCACAGTGTAGGTCCTCAGGCAAAAACTGACTGCCCTAGGGAAGGGCAGGTATGACATCACCCAGAGAGAATACAGCCAAGTGTTTGACTCTTGGGCTTCTCAGGAGACTGGTGTGAATCCACAGCAGGAGGTCTGGGCTCCAGTGTCCTGGTGTCTTGGGAGAGTGTTGACGGCCATACAAGCAGTGCTGAGGGCAGCTTCTTGTTCTGCATTTCAGCAGTTCCTCAGGGTGCAGAAAGAGCCAGTACCCATGAGACAAGGCCAAGAAAGCAGTTGTGACTACAGCCCTAACTCTGGTAACGGGTTTATGGATGTCTGAAACTTTCTCAGTCATGTATTCTTTTGTCTTAAATATGCTTATCACCCTACCTACAATTCTCATGAAAAATACTGTTAAGCTGGAAAAGGCAAAACTACCAGGACAGAAAACAAATCAGAGGTGACCGGGGACTGAGGGAGGGAAATATGAAGATCATGAGGGGCATTTTGGAGTGATGGAATTGTTTTATGTCTTGATTGTAGTAGTGGCTACATGAGTGCATGTACCTGTTGAAACTTGGAAGATGTGTGTACTAAAAAGTTGAAATTTACTGTATGTAAATAAAATTGTTTTTAAAATGATGAATATAGCTGACCAATAACAAAATCTCACAATTATGGAAACACTAAATCAATGCCAGTAGAAACCAGAATACTGGTTACTTCTGGGAGTGGGGGATGGCATTGATCTGGAAGAGGCACAAGAGAACCATCTGGAATTCTGGAGGTATCCGGCCATTGGATCCAGGTAGTGGGTCCATGAATATATAAATATCTGTCAAAATTCATTGAGCCAAACCCTTCATTACACCACAATGAAAAGTAAAACAGACAATCATTTTTTTAAAGAATTTTTAATTTAACATATTTCCCTTGGCCAGACTTGCCTACTTTATTACATGCTTGGGAGTGGTCTTATCTCCTTTATCTGAGAAGAAAGAATCAAATATACCTCAAATTGTACACCAACTTCCTAGCAATACCACCTATTGGATACTAAATTGACTGCTAGATTGGGGTGATATTCAGAATATTTAACATTTGGTGCCAAGCAGTGTGTCAATCAGAAAATCACAGACCCAATAGTTCAGATGCCTCCTGAAAACAGCTGCACACTGTGCCAGTGCAGACCAAACTGATTATCAGCCATGCATGCAGCATTTTCCAGCCTTGTTGGATATTTCTGCACTATCTTCCTGCCTGGTAGTGTAGACTAATGTTGAAAACTGAAGGGAGTAAGCAACAATAGTTCTGTTATTGGTCCCTTCTTGATGAAGCATGCAAGACTGTATAAATTTCCATCCACCTCTGTATGTGCTCACTTTCTTTGGGTGATCATTGGGATCATCTCCCATTTAAGAGAGAATCTCCTATTTTCTTTTAAAGTTCTAAACAGCCTTATAATAGTACCATAGAAACAATTACATAGAAAAGAATGTTCAGATTCCACTAGATAACCTTGAGGCCATACTTGGGTTGTGGCCTCAAGGGCCATACTTGGGTTGTGACATCTTTGAACTCACATCCTGTTACTCTGGTGTAGAACCTAGGCTGCTATTACACACCTGCCACCACCAGGTTGGTGTCCTGAAAAGGCAAGTGAGACCCCACAGGTCTTTTCATGGGGATGGGGAGTGCACCCAAATCATAGATCCTAACAGTTCAGCCCCAGACTCAGGTGCTGCCTCACCTCTGCTGACTCATGGGTGTTTGAACACCAAGTAAATCATGCTTGACTCAGCTGTTCTGAGACAAAGAGATTCCATTTTCCCATCACCCACTGGCCCTTGAGGCTGCCCAAGCATGGGGGGGGTCATGAGCACAGAAGCATGTGACACCCTGCCAGGTGACACCTTTGCTCTCTCACAGGCATGTACAGGGACATGTGGCAGTGGCTGCGATCTCACAGGACTAGGGGAAGGAAGTTAGGAAAAAGAAGTTGGAGGAATATGATAAATGAAATTACCTTGTTGAAACCTTTGGTGACCAAATTGATTGCAAGTTCATGGCTGATCCCATCTACCCAGACAACATCCTTTTCTCCGATGGGTTCAGAGAGGAAAGCTCTCAACCTGGGAGACATGTGATCCATTTTCTGCAATAGCAGTGGAGGAAAAGGGTTAAGAGTTATCTGGCTGCTTACAGTGTGAATGCACATTGGGGAACTCCCTCAGCCTACTGGGGGACTGGGTGGAACAAATGACAGGTTTCATTTCATCTTCCAAATTTATTGGAGACTTTCAGATGCCAGGTGCCATGCCCAGCCCTGAAGGTCTTTACACATCCATTTCCACATCCATTTCTTTGTCTGAATGGACTAAGAGATATCTAGTGATGGCTGCAAATGAGTCCAATAAAACCCCACAGAAAGGATGTTTTAATACTAAGAACTGCAATAATCCTTTCAACTTCTTCCATCTTAAATGCTTAAAGAAATATCACTTCTCTTAGCTAATTACCCTACTTTCTCTATCACCCACACTCTATAATAGTTGTTTGATTACAAGTAACAGAAAACTCTTAAACTGGATCAAATGTTAAAGAAGACAATGTAACAAAAGCCCAAGGGTAAAGGTAGGTATGGTACAATCAGGTCACAGCTTCATTTCTCTGATTCTTTCAATTTTTCCTCCTTGTGTTTGCTTCAGTCTTGGTTATTTCCCCTCATGGTGGTGAAATGGCTACTCCAGCACTTATACTCCCCAGCAATGGCACCCCCCAAAAAGAAGAGAGAGAACGTGTCTCTGAAGAGTCCCAAGCAGAGCCTTATTCAGTCTCAAAGGTCTTCATGGAGTCACCGTGTAAGCTTAGCATTAGCTGTGTGCTCCAGTCCTAGACGTGGAACTGCAGTTGGCTTTCTCTAAGCCACATGTGAGCTGTGAGTTCCAGCACAGTTACTTAAACAAAATCAGGATTATTATTCAAAGTTGGGGAGATGTAACCATAACATCCCACTAAGATCTACCCTTTTGTTGAACCAATATTTATATACTCTCCTTAACTTGCATAGTCATCAGAAATACCCACACTTGGCTAAAAAGATTCATCCCCTTCCCCAAAGGGTGAAGTCCTATGATTCAGCCAGTTACTGGATTCAATTCAAGTTCATATTTTCTGAAAGATGCATCATACTTTCAATCATGTCTGAAAGTAGCTATTCATGGAATGGTAACCTATGAACTAAATTCTGAAGTTCATCACCATCAGCATAGTCAGCAATACCAAGAAAAACCTAAGAAACCTACAATAAGCATTTCCAGAATGGGAATTCTTCATCAGAGAAGAAAAGAATGGGAAACACATTCAGCTTTTGATGGTTGATAGTACATGCAATATTGAGGAAATAATGAGGATTCCTTGTCCTGGTGGTAAAGCAAGTTCCTCAGTCAGACAAGACAGCAGTCTCCAGTTCTAGGTTTCAGTGTCTATCCTCTGTCTACGGCCTTGTTAAAATCTGAGTGGGCATGGGCTTGATGCTTTCCAAGGAGAGTCACCATTTTAACACCTCACTTCTTTCAGGTACAAGATTAGAGATTGTCCTGAGCCATGGGCAATCTCAGACCATATTTGGCCACTTTCTTTGATAATTCAGCTCCCTTAAGAATTGAATGGGTTTCTTCTATTCAAGTTCATGGGCTCATAGTTCGAGCTGAGAGACTGACCTCGGTATCTTTGATCTAGCAACTGACCTCTGTGCCTTGCCCACTGCCCTGGTCCTCAGATTAGTGGCATCTCCTTTCATCTCTGAAGTGGGGAAGTACCCCAAATGTGTTTCTTGTCCCCCAGCTATATCCCAGCTGCATCTTCACAATAGGTCAATTGTCCCCTTTATCAAGTTTGACATCTTTAAGACAAGATACTCGGAAGAGATGTGGGAGGGAACTGGGACATGTTTTTCTGGGGCTCCAGTTATTTTCTTTTGTTAGGTCACCCAACTTGTTTCCTATTTTCTAAGTTTAGCCAGAAAAATCAGCTTTCCAACCCAGCAGGACTTGCTCATCAATGTCCAGTCACTTTAGATTGCAGGCCACAGGCAGAAAGGCCCTCTCTTAGCAAAGCTGTATTTTCATCCCTGTCCACTCTCAAATGGACCACCTTCCCCCTAAATGTGAGTCTTCTAGATTCTAGAACCTTGATGAAGACTACCAGAAGTAATCAATATCCTGAATATTTCTCATCAGTTCTCCAAATGTTATGTCTCCATTTCGGAAGGTCTGTATCCCAGGATACATCAGTTTCACCATACCAGCCATTTTGCTAAACCAGGATCTCTATCTTCCTAGTTTGAGTACTCTGTGTGAACATCTTTTCTCAGCTAACCCACATTTAAGGTTTACTCATTGTCACATCCTCTAAGTTTATGATACAAGAAACTAAAAATCTAGTTCAAACTAGCTTACACAGTAGGAGGCTTTAATAGTATAAGCTTCTCAAAAGTCCAGGGTTGAATCACATGAGGTTTCATCAAGACTTGATTTCCCTGCAACACTGTTGACTCAGCCTTTCTTTACATATTGGCTCAATCCTCAGCTTGACTCTTCATGGAAATAACAGTACTGCAGCAGGGCCTGTCACAGTTTTTGAAAGCTATAACACTCCTAAAGAAAAACACTTTTTTTTCCTAGAAACTGCCAACAAATGCCTTCTTCAGTCCAAATCACCATATGCCAGGCTCTAAAACGTTATCTATGGCCTAATATGAGTGCCCTACCTCTGGTCCAGAAAGTGAGCATGTCACTTGCAAATCACATAAGCTGTGGGGTGGGAATGGAGCACAAAATCAGAGTAGTTGCCGTGTTACTGGGAGTACTTACCCTACACCAAAATATAGGACAGAATTAGGAGAGCAACCCAGTGCCCACCACATAATCCCCAGTAGATCATGAGGCCCCAAGGGCCACAGCTGCCTCTAATGGCCTTTGGTCCCCACCAGAGCCCCTGCCCCAGTGCCTGGTACTGAGCCTCACACATGGTAAGCACTCAGTGACATAAATGACCTATGCATCCATGCTTTCAAATGTGTCCATTTTATAGCACTAGTCCCCTTGCCTGTCTCCACACTTACAATTCTCCAGATCTTTCTGTAAAGTACAGCTCCCTCTATAAGCCTTCCTGCTTCCAGATGTTTTGAGACACTTCAGATGAAACTAAACTGTCAAGAAGTACTGGATTTGAAGGCACTGATTTTAGGAGCCAGGGGCACCTAAGGAAAGTGGTCTCAACGTGTTGGTTGATCCTAGGAAAGAAAACATAAGGCAGGAGAAGTTGTCCAGAGTCCCCTCTGTGTGTCTCAAATACACAAATGTGTGAACTACAAATACATTATTATACAGAGGGCACTCACCCCTCTCTCTAGCAGCTAAATGTACAGATCCCTCTTAATCTGTGAAAATATCTTAACAGGTAAACTCTGCAGCACCCATCACCATGTGGACAATGAATCAGGATTGGTGGCCCAGCTCAGGATGGGCAGGTAAGGAATCAAGATATCTGAGTAGCATGAAGAGCCAGAGCATGCTGGCAGGGCTCCCCAACTCTGCTGAGGGAAAATTCCATTCACTATCCACGTTGGCCATCTGTTAAGTTAAACATCTTTGCCTATTACAAGAATAAATGGAAATTACAACATCGTTATCAGTGTACCAGCAGCATTAAAGACAGGTGATTAGCAACACCTTGTATGTTTGCTTTTCTCACACACCTGATCTCACTTTGTTCCTTGAAACTCTCTGGAGCATGGGCAGTGAACTTACCCTCTAAGGACCCACTAAATAAAGGATGTTTGCATTCATTAGGATGCCTTTGTCTGAGATAGTGGTTCTCAACTAGGGGTGAATTGCCTACCCCCCATACCATTTGGCAATGTGTCTGGGGACACCTTTGGTTGTCACAACTGAGGGAGGGGAAAGTTCGATTAGCACCTAACACTCAGAGGTCAGGGTTGTTACTGAACATCCTATAATGCACCTAACAGTCCCCCTACCCCCTTAAGTATGATAAACCCTCAGCCACAAGTAACAGAAACCCTGTTCAAACACATATAAATATATTTCTAATCTCACATAAGCAGAAATCTACCATTGAGGTGGACCCAGGATTTTGTCAGTCAGTGGCTCTGTGTTGTCAAGGACCAGCCTAGCTGCCCCCATGACCCCAAGATGCTTACATGGAGACTTTCAAAGGAAGGAGAGGCCATTTCTTCTTAGTGTCCCCAGAACATCTTCAGCAGAACTTCCCTTAGTTTTATAGTCTAGAACCAGGCAACACACTCACCCATAAACCAGCTATTGGCCGAGGGAGTGGGACTGCATAGGGTATGAATGAAGTCAGTTTCCTGTTACTTAGAGAATGTAAGATTCTCTAAAAATCAGGAGAGGAGGTTGTTGCTGGGTAGACAAATGACCTAATGACCATATCCACTATCTTTTAACCGTGCTCTATTATTCTCAAAGTTTAATGTGTGCACAGACCACCTGGGGTTCTGTTAAAAAATGCAGGTTTTCATACAGTAGGTCTGGGGTGGGGCCTGAGATGCTTCATTTCCAACAAGCTCCCAAGAAGATGCCAATGCTGCCAGCCTACAGATCATACTTTGACTAGCAAGGTGTTATATGATGCTACCTTTTTAAAAACGTCACCTGAGGATATTTTTATTGGTTTTAGAGAGAGAGGAAGGGGGAGAGAGAGAGAGAGAGAAACATCGGTGTGAGAGAGAAACATCTACCAGTTGCCGCCTGTACATACCCTGAGTGGGAAGGAACTTACAACCTAGGTATGTGCCCCAATGCTCCAACCAAGCAAGCACCCACCCAAGGCTTATGTCACTTATTCTTTTTATGTTATTTTATATTTAAAATAAGCAGTCTCCCCTTATTTGTGGAGAATGCATTCCAAGACCCCAGTGGATGCCCAAAACTGCAGATAGTACCAAACCCTACAATATATTATAGTGATTTTCAATTGATGTGCTGCAAAAAAATTTAAAACATGCAATACTTGACTATTTAGTTAGGGGCACTGACCTCTTCTCTCTTAGGTTTTAAAATTTAAAAAATGACAACATACAGATCATGTGTCATGGAAATGTACACTTGA